AAAAAGAGAGACTAAGTTTAGCTCTTCCCCTGAGGACTCTACTCAGGTTCTTGCTCTCCTCCCTTTCTTCTCCTGGCCTCTTCCTTTCCACAATCCATCACAAAATAATTAACTTACTATAAGTGAAATTAATCCCACTAATTGGTTTTAAAGGTATTTTTGGAAACGAAAAGGGTGAGGTGAGAAAAAATGTCAGTGTGTGTGGATGTGAGTTTGAATATAAGCAATCGAGAAGGTGGGGGAGGGTGGCACCTGTTCACCCATACCTTTGCAGAGAGGATGTGACCTCGCCAGACAGGAAATGAACTTGCGACAAAATAGGAAAGATGTAAGCTGCAATTTTCTTTGATTCTCCTCCTCTTCTCTGGAATACATAGAACTGCTTAGGTTTTCGACTCTTCTGTCCTTCTGCTGTCTGATACTGAAAGAAAACGCTGTTGTTTTCGCATGAGTGGATGAAGAAACAGCAAATGACAGAAAAGGCTTCTTAAGTAGCTTCAAAGCTTAAGTAAAATGTGAATTCACTGAAATAGCATCGCAAGTTGTCCAAACAGATATTTTTATCCTCTTCGTCTTTCATGTTTGACATTTATTGATGCATTAGGGACGCAGAATGAGAACAGCTTAGTGGATCAGAACAAATACAGACGCGTAGTAGGATTAAAAGAGCAAGAAGGCAAATTTTGTGAAAAATAGAGCAAAATATGCAACATTTTGCATTTTGACATAATTTACCCGATCACTTAATATGAAATGAAAATGCAATTAAATGAGACTGTGACGTCATGACACAAATAACTGGCCTACACCTTTAATCCCTATACACATGCACTTGAATGGGAGTACAATGAAAACAACACGTATTTCGAAGATTTGACATAAGTTGACGTTCCACGAAATCCACTTTATTTTCTTAGCATATTATTTTCAAGTTTACACTTTTGACAGCTGGCTCTCTCAGAAAAGCATAATTAAGGTTGTAACAATGTCAGAGACTGCTCACACCATCTCCATGAACGTACTGAGCTAAAGCCACCGAGCAGGGGCGGCCTGGCATATGGGACTACCGGGAACTTCCTGGTGAGCCGGTGGGCTAGCAGGCTGGTGATTTAGCCCATGGAGAAGCTGTGAGGTTTGGACACCGCAATACTTCATACTCTGCCACATCAAATGCAGGGTCTGCCTTCCTTCAGGCATGTCTGCTGCACATGGCTGCAGAGTGGTCCTGTAAACACATGAGCGAGACCGCAGGACCTGCCGGCTGACAGTGCAGAAGGGAGATCAGAGAAACTCATCCCACAAAGCCCAGCCTAAGGAAACAAATAGCCTCTGAGGCTATGTATGCATGCATACATTTTGTAGCGGTAAATTGACAATCTGAGAATAGAAATAGTTACGTTAGTGCTGTAACTGTGGATTGATTCTGGAAGGAAGCTGGAGAACCTGTTAAAAACGAATCAAGCCTTGGCTCAGTCATGACTCCGTATAGTTTGCTTCTGCAAGTTAGCTTAAATGTACGTAACATGATTATATCAGTTCTTTAGCTTAAGATTTTTATAAATAGGAAGATTTTTGATGCTGTTAAATATTTTTCTACTGCTTCTCCATGTGTAATTCACCACTTAAGAAACTGTTAGATCCTGTTTGTGCTAATTTGTTTGCCAAGCCTAACCTTCTGGACCGAATCTGTCATTTATAATTTCACTCCGTTATCGTTCGCTCTCTCTCCCTTTGCCATTTTGATTCACTGCAACATATGCTGCCACTTTCCTCACACGCAGACTAATTACGGGTGGAGGAAAGGGAGGAAGAAATATAACATAGCCTCTCAGGGTGAGAGAAAAGAGGTGAGAGAAAGGGCAGGGAAAGAGAGGAAAAAAGAAAGAAAGAGGATGAGAGTAGGGAAGGGGTCCTTGGGGTGAATTATTCATCTTACACCGTGACACCTGAGGGCAATCTACCTCTCTGAGTCACCACCGTTAAAGAGACGGAGAGTAGACTGTGTGAGTCAGAGCTGCCCAAGAGGATATTAACATCTGTACGTGTGTGTGTATGTATGTGTGTGTGTGTGTCCTGTGGAGTATTGTCCCCTAAGCCGATCATGTGCTGCCTACATACGGAGACGATCTAAAGTGTAACTGGTGGTTGTCGCTCACACACAGACACGGGCGTTCAAAAGAGTCCTTAATAAGCCAGGCCAGCACGGCACACAGCGTAAGCTTTCCTCTTACTGAGCTCCAGCCGAAAACTGAGCTAGCATTAAGCAGCAGCACGGGTAAGAAAACGCACACGCGCAAACACACAAAGCCAATGTTGAGCTTCTCAAACATTACACATGTCATCTTTCCATTAGCTGTTATTAAATTAATAACTGCCATCATCCTCTTTGCCTGTAATGCGCTATAATCTGCCTTCTCCAGTCAGGCTCTCAGACCTCGCCGACGGTTGACGGGATCATCGACATTCATCAGCGCCAGTCTCGCTTCTTGGCTGAATTATTAAGCGTACACATTTCTTACATCCCAAACCTTGGTGTTCCCAAGCAGAAAACGGGAAGAAAAATAATTTGTTCCAGAATGTCGTTAAAACTGCTGGACTTTATTTGAGGGCCTCAAACCAGTTCAGTGAGTTTGTAGGCTTTCGGTGTCTCACAGAAAGATCCTTCAGTATGCTGCACAGCAGCTGATGGAGTAAATGATTCATAAAGCGATACTTAAACTTCAAGATACCCAGTGGACTCATGTTCTTGCTTTTCTTAGAATTGATTAGGCTAGGTTGAAAATATTGGATGGACAAATGGGTTATTTAACTTCTAATAAGACTAAAAAAAACAAAGATTTTGGAAGCAAGTCTTCAGTACTGTCTCTTGCTGAGGTGCTGAAAAAAGATCAGGAGCGTTTTGATGTCTCTGTTTGTCTTGTGGCTCTTTTATATGCGCTCCACTTTCTCTGGCACCGAGCTTGACTTCCTACTGAAATTATCCAGGCAGACCAAAAATAATCCACCGCTAGAGAGAGGCGGCAGCGGCGATGGGATGGAGGAGAGAGGAAGAAAGGTAGAGGAGCGAGTGAAAAAGAGGTGGCGGAAAGGAAAAATCAGGAGATTAAGAATAAATAGACATGTGAAAAGTGGGGAAAATGTGGATGCAACGAAAGGATGTAAATTGGCAAGAAAAATGAGGTGGAACACAATAGAACGGGCAGCAATCACAGTTACTGTCACAAGTGTGAATTTATTTGAATTCCTGCTTTCCGTTGCATTACCTATGAGTCTGTTGGCTGGAAGATCTGCAACTTCCAGCCAACTTTTTCCAAATTAGGTGTTCCTTATTGTGAAGATAATCCCTAGCACGTGATACGGGCTTGGATACAGGAATATGACAGAGTGTTTGAAAAACGACACGCCGGGACTTTGCTCCTACAGTCGAGCAGTCTCGGTTAGAAACGTTCAAGAAAAGGAAAGCGAGTCGGAAGTGAAGAAATGCCATGTGATCTTCCTTCTAACATTTAACTTCGGTCATGAGTTTTGAGTTGAAATGGTAATAGGACTCAAGTGGTTAGCTGTGGTTTCACCATTTAATGTTTTAGGTTAGTGTCTTGTTAGCAAAAATAGTCAGGAATGACTTATTTCTGCTTTCCCCCCGAAATTATTTCAAATAAACACACATTTGAATTTTGCTCCTTGATCGCAACACAAAGCAGTTGACTTCTCAGAGTTTTAGATATGTTTCTTCTGCACTTTAATCCTCAAATTTACTAGTTAGCATATTTTATTAGTATTTGATCTGTATCCACAATCGTCAATCTTACAAGAAATAAAGCACTGATGTTTTTCACTTTGTGCGTAATAAATTTGTGTAATACGAGTTACATTTTCTGAAATGAAAAAATAGAACTTTTTCATGATATTTTAATATGTTTGAGATGTACCCTTAAATTCTGTTGTCATGCAAAAGCACAGAATTTAAAGTCAACAGTTAACTCATGTTGTCAATTAAACCAGCAGGCTTAGAAAACTGATATTCATCTGGACATTATCCCATTCTATAAAGGCAACGTAATCTTAGTGATTTAAATTAGAAATGTTAAGTCTGATTTAATGTCAGACAGTGATATAAAAAGATTAAGTGTCTTTTTACACAAAGTATGTAAATACCTGGTTTCAATTCTTATAAAGTAGAACTTTTGCCAACATAATTCAACGCAGTGCTAACCAAGATGTACCAAAAAACAAAAAAAACAAAAAAAAAAGGATTTAAAAGTCCCTTCTCAGTCACTGAAGAAAGATCCTAATCATTTTCCAAGTAAGCGCTCCATCACACGGCCCTCGCTAATCACAACTCCACAGGTTTCCCCGTTTGCAGAACCACTTCAAAGTAAAAGTGCATCCCGCGGTAACACACACCTTGTTAGGTGAGGCTGAATGTCACCTTGAGAAACCAACTGGCCAGCTGCGCTGATTTACAATGCACGGCTGCGTCCGCCCGCGCTACTTCTTCCTACCAGTCTGCCGAAAGCGACCCCTGCACTTATCCTGTGCGCACAACTCCACGATCGCGGACGCGGTGAAACAAAGCAAGCGTCCCGCCGTACACGCAACGACGTCAGCATTGCTGGGTGACAGTTGCACTGAATTTTTCCTCATAATTACTGTATTAATCAAGAAGTAATAAATGTGGAGTGGCTCCACACGGTGTTGATTAACACAGATGATAGAGGGGCATGGGGGAAACACTGCAGCTATCCCTCGTTATTACCAGATTGGTAGCCTCTGGGGAAGCCTCCATGCCTCGCTCCTGCAGTGCAGATAAATGATTGACAGACCGGTCGGGTATATGTGTGTTTGTATGTGGGGGGTAAAATTGTTACACAAAGAGGAAGTAAGTTGTTTTCTGGCTCCTATTTCCTTTTAATCAAGTGACACTGTGTGTGTCAAACTGTGTTTGCGGGGTGTTTATGTGTGTGTGTGTAATCACAGTGACTTTCTTTCCTCTATTACAGCTTTAATCCATCAACTGGCTGTTGCTATGGTGTTTCTCCCGCCGCCCAATCAGAGCAATGCTGCTGAGCACGCTCAGAGATGAGAATCACAGGACAACTGCTTGTCTTCGATACGACGGACAAAAGGGTGATGGAATCGGCAACTAAGAAATCTGACAACTAATTTAGAAAGGTGAAAAACGGCACAATTCAGTACGCATGCACAGCGACCTCCCATGGAGTCCTGCAACCACCAGGCAACTTGCTTGTTAATTGTGCACTTTGGGAGCCAGCCGAAAAGCTGATTTTAATCCATCATAACCGCAACTGATGGGATACATCTGCTGTCTGACACCAGTCTGTGAAATTGTCTTTAAACGTACAACAAAAGCACAAATCAAGAAATCATTTTCAAATAAATACTTAACCTATCAGTAATGTACTAATAAAATTTAATAAATCACATAAGAATTTATTTATTTTTGTTAGATGTGTAAACAATTCCTTACATAGTCATACAAGTAATTACATGTTAGATTCATTAATGAAACTTTGATTTAAATATGTCATGTGTTTTTTTGTGTTTTTTTTTTTTGGTTTATTTCGGATTTCCTGTACTTTTAAGTATTTGATATATCTAAACAAAAAAAGCAGAAAATTAAGCAAATTCACACAGAACTAAAATAGAAACTCAGCAAAAAAAATAATGATGGAGCAGTCATTCATCCACAATGTAGGTTAAGAATGGACAAGTCACACTTATTAAGGTTTAAAAAATCATTTTCAAAACCGAGTGTTGTTATGCCTGTTTGAAGCTTTACAGTCGTTTTATTTAAATGCCAGAGGAATTGCTTGAGTGCCTGGAGTTTGTTGTACGGACTGTAAAATAATCCAGTGCCTCCCCGTTCTCACTTGTTGCTGTGCACTGCCAGTAAGATGGCTGAAAGTGGCCTTCTAAATCTTTCCATTGCCCACATACAAAAAAAAAAAAAAATCTATCATCAGGATAACTATCTGAGCAGACGGCTTAACTTGACCACCTATTACATTACAGTTTATAATTATTTTACCAGGAGGAGGACTAATTGTTCATTTCCTGTTTAGATAAAGTGATTAGTAAACAACAAAAGTTGTCCATGACATTGCTGTTGAAGTTTGAAGGATACAGAAGACATACTGTTCCCTTTATTCGGAAACAGACATCATTTGAGGGGAGCAGATGATGCCTGCTGTAATTAATCCCCGAAAGCTTTCACTCAGGTCATTTGATGCAAATTGGAAGGATCAATGCGATCTTGTGTCACTTTAATTGCAATTTGCAGCTCGCCATGCAATTTCTCTGCAGAAATCGCATTGTGAACCATAGCGCTCTTGCCGTCACTCTTGCGGTTTTCATTTTTGCGCGCTCGGACAAAGCAAGCCAGCTTTCACACTTGAACAAATGTAGACGCGTGCAGTTAGCGTTAGCTTGCCCGAGTGAACAAAATACACATGACGATGGTCATACTGTAGCCGCGTAATAAAGTGTTTCCATGAAATATTCTTAAAGTAGGATAATCAAATAAAAGTGTGCTAAGACATCCATGCATTTCTGTTTAACCGTAAGCCAAAGATTAATTTATTCCTGTAGGTAAATGAATCAATGATGACAGTTCAGCTAAAAGCTACTAGTGCCTTTTAAAGCTTTCCAAATCCAGGCGTAGAGTTCCAGGACAGCAGTGTGCCTGCCCCTCTTAAGTGACAATTTGGTATAGCTGGGCCTCACAGACTCCAAAAAGGCCGGAGAATGTTGGTGTCTGTGGAAAAGAACAGAGAGCAGACGCCTGCCTGGCTCTCACTGTCATATATTTGTAAGTGGATTTATAATTTCCAGGCCCTGACCTGTCCTCCGTGAAAGGATGGTCCTGCCTCGCCTCAGCCCTGCAAATTACCGCTAACCCTGACCATGAAACGTCTTTGTCCAAATCACACGGCCTGTGATCTCAGAGTATGGCTCTAAAGCTGCTGAACCTGTCAACGCTTCCTTTTGGTTTTTATGGCTGCTTTTACAACAACGTGAGGAGAGGGTTGAGTGATTATATAAGGGTTTTAGAATCTTTAACTCTATAACAGTTTATCTGATTCAGTTCCGATTGTTGAATCTTTGTTGGGAATTTGTTTCTTTGACAAGATTGCACTAAAACGACCTACCTGAATTTCCTGTTAATATTGTAGCTTATAAAAATATTAATTGTAATCTCCTTGAACTTTTACAGATTTTGTCATGTCACATCCGTATATATTTTTCTGCACTTTATTGAGTTTTTATGTGATACGCCAACAGTGGAGTTTCCATTTGTAGTGAGCTCCCCTGAGTCAATACTATACAGATCCACAGGTTTGCAGCTTTTATCACATCTAGCGACTGACATTTGTGCCCATTCTTTTTCTCAAACTTCTGAGCGTTCACACCTGTTAGTTTGCAGCAAAAAGCAATTTGCAAATTCGGTTTAAGTCTGATCTGACCACAGTGCTTTCTTCTATATATTTATTAAGGTGTTCCCTACATTATTCCTCACTCTACACATCATGACTTTTGTTCAACAAGGGCTTTCTTCACCCAACGAAAACATAAGGGAAAGATTTGTGAAGTTCATGACTGATAGTTGTTCTGTTCACACTTTGTCCTCCTGACCTTTGGTCTCCTGCAGCCTTTCTAACGTTATCAAGGGATTCTTGGCTGGTTCTTCATAATTTGTGAATTCATTTGGGCTTTATTTAATAATATCAAAGTAAATAGGCTGAATTCAGATACATACGTTTAAATACTTTGTTGTAGTTTTTTTCTTTCCCTATCAGATAACATTAAAGTTTGAAGCAGTATTTGCGAGGCACCGTTTTGCTGCAGATTGAACAGCTCATATAAAAATGCTTTTGTGGTCATGATTTGGATTAGGAGATTGGACCTTTTGCTCTCTGAATCCCTCGCTTTCTTCCAGCACACAAACTAAATGAGGTCTACCTTTGCTGTCAGAGCATTTCACACCTCTGTTTCACATCTATTTAAGCAGCAAAGCCGTATTATTATCAAGTCTCTTCATTCCCAAAAGCCCAAATGTGTCATTGCCCGTTTCACACATCCTGCCACACTCTTCCTCCTTTTTTTATCCCCCACCCCTTCTCTTTTTTCCTCTCTTTCATAACCTTCTGTTGCCCTGCGTGTCTTCTTGTTGCCACTTTTTCCACCTCCGTGCAGTACACCCTTTCCAACACGGTGCAGCGTGTGCTTGCGTTCCAATAAACGTTGTGTGTTTTTGTGACAACGGGCAGTCAAAGGAAGCTCGGGCGATTAACTCTGATAGCCACCAGATGCCTGGCTTAGAGGTAGAGTCACAGTTTATAACCTTTCAGGAAACCTTTCAAACATTTAGATGGACAGCAATGTATGACGAGTCCCGTATGAAAGCAAAAGGAATTGACACATAAGAGGGGTCAGGAGTGAACAAACGGGCAGGGGGGGCATGGAGAGGAGGGGAAGGAACCCAAGAGGTAAACTGTGAATTTGGAACACTGTGTGCAGTAAATGCTGGCTTTGTTCTTTAAAGAGAACATGCCATGTTTTCCTCATGAGCTTGGGCTTTGGAGAACAAACAGCACATGAGTGAAGGCAGGTGACGGTCACATTCTTCAAACTGGCCGGGATGTGACCGCAGATCAAAGCCTTGATTGGCCACAAGCTGCAGATGTTGTTTGTGCTGTGATTCCTTTGTGTTTGTCTGTGTGTGTACGTTTTAGCATTTCTCACCTTGTAAGGCCCGTTTTTCCAACAAACGCTACCTTGTGAGGACCCATTGCTCCTAACAGGACCCGTGAGAAGTACTGTTATTCGGTAAAGGGTTGTGTCTGAGATCTTACTTGAGTTTATGTTAGGTTTCAGGGCTAGGGCTAGGATATAAAAATGACTGAGAAATGAGTGGAAGTCAATCCAAAGTCCTTGTGAAGACAGAAAGATGTAACGTGTTTGATTGTGTGTGTGCGTGTGTGTGTGTTCACTGAAATCTGATCTTTCAGATTGTGAATTCAACAGGCAGATGGTTCAGAGAACAAGTGGCAAAAGCAACAACTAAGCAACAAATTAACGGACACTGGGCGGAGAAACAAACTTGCATTTCAAAACTACAAAATATTCAACCAATGAAATGAAGACTTATGTCGAATGTTTTGTAGCAGTTCTTTTCTTTGTCATGTCCCAGAATCCAAAGCAATTTTTTTTTTTTTTAGCTGATTATTCCATCTAAGAAATATATCCGAACTGGGAAAGTTGGGAAGAGACCATCTCTCAATCGGTCTACAAAAAAATATATATATATATATTCTCCATAAAACTAATATCAGTCAGAGTTGAAGACATGCAGATGTTTGAAACTGTTCACCAGTTTTGACAGAACTGTCATAAAAATCCAGTTTAACTTGACGTATTTCTGTTAGAGTAAACAATATGTCGGAGTTCATTCTTCAAAATGTCTTTGGGCTTCTTTCATACCCAAAATGATCAGCTTCCAGACCAGAGAAAGAAACCTTTGTGCTAGTAAGGACCCATCTGTGTTGAGACATGAACTCCGGCTCAATTTACTTTACACGACCCAGTCAGGGAACACAAGAAAAATGTAAGAATCGCTTCTGTTATTATAAAGCGTCTGCAGGTGTTTTGGGGGAAACAAACTAATAAATAAAAAGAATCAATAGTTCAGTGGCATTTAAAACTGGAATGAATCACAACAGCAGCAGAAAGTTGTTGTTTTTTCTCTCCAATGCATCTAGTACAAGTGGTGGTATCCTTGTTCGTTTATTTATTGATTGATAACAGCAGTTTGAGGCATAATAACGAGAACCAGACGACCAACAAAATGTCGATGTAAAGAAAAACAATGAACTTTCCGCTTAGCAATCCTTACATAACCGAAGTTGCCATGAGAAAAAAAAAATATTTGTGGCAAGCTGCATATGATTCAGCCTAATTGGCAGGTCGCGTGACAGAGTGTTGCACCGGTCTCCTGAGACTCTCCCAGCGGAAACCCATTTTCACTTAGAAATTCCCGGATGCATTTTCTAATCACTGAGCTGCAACTTGCAGAGTGTGAAATTATGGTGCCAACTCCACAAAATTTCTGCTTGAGGAAATACAAAACACACATTTTTTTTTTTGGGGGGGGGTGGATTCTGTGGTGTTGTACTATATTGTTTCACTCAGAGTCCAACAGCTTCCCCAATGTCTCCAAAAAATAACTGAGCTCTTTGCTAGTAAGGACTTATAGAGACAAATTAGGCCATGGTTCTCAACTAGAAAATGGTGGACTGCTTCCTCCAGGTTGGGGGTTACATTTCACTTTCTGGTTTGGAAACACCATGGGTTCCCTCCAGAGAGTGTGGGTTATGCCCCACAACTTGATCCCAGAGAACTTTAAGACGCCGATCAAATGGTAGATGGTGACCACCGCCTGCTTCCCCTGGGAATGGGTATTTCACAGTTTCAGACTTCTCCGTTCTGAACATCGTCTCTCTTTTCATCATGAGTGAACACAAAAGTTTCATATGCAGAAGTGAGAACAAAGGATGATGGAAGGATTGGGAGGATGTGGGCTTGGTGGTTGAAGCTTTCAGAAACCAAAGGCTGTTATATTATGCGATACACAACAGACCATGAAACATTTCCGGTAACTGAAAATCAGTTAGGTCATCCATATTTGAAATGGTGCTAATTTCATTATGTCGAACTAGGGTGACCCTATAAATGTCCCAGTTGTGTTCTGACCTCCTCCGCTGTCAGTCAACAAACGTCAAACAACCCTGCTGAATCGGCCAGGATGAGAAATCTTGCTGCCTCCCTTCTCTCTCCTCCTCTCCATCTTTCCTCGTGTCATCCACGGCTGTCCCCTCTCCCCTCACCTCCTTTCTTCTCTTTCTCTCTCTTTGTCCCTGTTGGAACAGCGTGTTTGTTTAATGTGGTGTCTCCATGGTTACCCGTCTGCCACACTGATGTAATGTCATTAATCATCAACTTTATCATGCTGCGACCCAGACGCATGTATGCAGAAAGCCGGCCGTGGCATTTTACACGGCAGAAAGACGGGAGGAGGGTGGTCCACTTAAGAATATTAAAAAGTAACAGTGAGCAGACTCAGGTTTCCTTCGATCTTTAAGGAACGTCTGCGTCTTCACGTACAAAATAAGAAGATGCATTTGAAGTACAATGAATGCTCTTCTTTTTCCTCCTTATGCCCTTCCATCTCCTCATGAGATTGCTCGCTCTCTTTTGGTTAACATGACAACAGACAGTCAATGTCGCGCCTCCTGCTCTGGTGACATCACCACAGGCGCCAAGCCAATCCCCGAAAAACCTCTTTATCATCTCTCTCTCTCTCCCCATCTCGCTCTCTTCCTTGTTCTTTCTTTCATGGGCATATTGATCTGGAATACAAATCACAGATGCAATAAAAAGGGCTGGTGGAAAAGTGGTAGTGGAAAAAAAGAGGTGGAGTGGAGGAAGAACAGAGAATGGAGGGGAGAATAACAGATAGCCTCACTTATATATGAGCTACTGCCTTACTTCCAATGTCTGAGATGTGGTGTATTTTTGCTTTTAAGTCCTGCACTTTAAAATGTTATGGAACGGAGAAAGGCAATGTTATCAATTTACTTTAGAAATGAGAAAGGCCCGACTGAAGATTATTATTATTTTTTTTTTTTACTTGGTGTGTCTCTGTAAAATTAGAATTGGGCACCAGAAAATAATTTCATTTTATTTATTTTTTTTAAATATTTGTTGGCTGGCAAAATCCATTAACACTAATCTGGCTGGCTGTGCAGACCACAGGAGTCCCCTACAAATGCAACATAGCTGTCCAATATGGCCACATCAGTACTCAATAATTAAGAACCAGCATTCAAGAAAAGTCCGGATGAACGTCAATTGGACAACCAGATCACCAACAGATTGGTCAAGTCAAAGCAGATTTTTGAACCGCTGAAAACGGGCCCAGTGATTCTCTGTTGAAATACTTAGAGACCACTGTACCCTGAAAATGATAAACGATGCAGAAACTGCTGGTTGCATGTAGTTAGAACAGTTTACTTCGTCTTTTCCCCCCAAATTTCCGATTGTGTATTGCTTATTTAGTGACGGTTTGGCTAATTTTTTTTTATGTGCGACGATAAAAACCTTTTTTTTTTAATTTCTTGCTGTATTTTTTATTTATTTTTTGCCCAGAAATATCAGAAATATACTTTTTAAATAAAACATTCACATTACTAGAATAGCTACAGCACCGTTTTGAAAAGTAGAGACACAAATTATAGACGATCTCTTTGAGCCAAAAGTGGAAACAAAGTGGACGTCTTTTAAGGTCGTAAGACCTCAAAGAATCAGGACTCCGTTAGGGCCTCTCCAAAACGTTTGTTACTTCCAGTCAGAAGCAACATGTTTGTAAATTTGAAAGATTACTCAAACCTAATTCTTCCAGGGACATGAATACTTTTTGCATATGTGAGTTATTGGTTTAATCACATAGAAAAAAATCACAGGTGCAAATATGCTGCATATCAGTATTTTGCAGACTGAATCTAAACTCTGAAGTAGAGAGGGGCTTTCAGCTTTCTAAGTTCAAATTCCCACTTCAGAGGCCTTTTCTGGTAACTTTGTCCCATTTAGAACTGGGAAAGTCCCAACTTCAGCTATAAAGCCGATGCTCTTTCCATTCTTTTGTTTAGAAATCCAAAAATGCAGATGTAGTTTGGTTGGGTTTGAACAGAGTAAAAAAAATAATAAATTGGTTACGTTGTGCTTTAGTTCCTGCTGTATTCCAAAAAGAACACGATGTCAATACTTTATGTGGTCTGTTACTTAAAAACTGACCCCTTTTTACAGTAGCGGCGATGCTATGACCACCATAAGGGGCAGAATTCATCGCCTTGGAAACACAAGTCGACGAAGAAGAATCTCTGTGGTGTCAGCACATGTTTCACATATTTCTGAGACACCAGATAAGCCCTCTAAACATTTAAACATTCTCCTGCTTCTGGACCTAATTATAGATGCAGGTCTGGAAATGGAAACACACACACACACACACACACACACACACACACACACACACACACACACACATTGTTAAAGAAGTCCTGTAACTAGCCTGCTTTAGCCATTATAACTTGAGTGTAAAAGTGACTCTGGTCTTTTGGGAAGTGGACCGCTCTGTACAGACATACCCTCTCTCTCACTCACACACACACACACACACACACACACACACACACATACATACAGTATAGTCTGCAGGGAAGTGGTCCATGGAGCACACACATCAAGACTGGCCTAGATAGATGGGATGGCAGGGGACACAAACACATAACAGCCTTCTCTCTTTCAGCACATGGACAGTCAAGGACATTCTGACGGCCTACATAGTTGGGTCATTTCATACCAAATCTTACTCTTGTCTTTTTGTGAAAAGTAGGGAAGATGAAGGCAACAGAGAATAAGGAGGGACCAGAAACAGAAGACTGTATTAAAACTAGAATATTTATTTCAAAGACAGGATTTGGAGAAAGAGGATGAATGAAGATTTGTACATTAGAAGTTGAAAAGTAAAGCACAATAATTTCACTCTAATGATCCACTGACTATTTTTGGGGGGGGGGGGGGTTGACCAAAGTTCTACCTAATTGATGAACCATTTTCAAAGTAAGTTGCACACTTCTCAGAGTGACTGATGGCTTGAAGCTTCTTTCTCTTTAAATTCATAACAGATTAAAGCTGCTTAAAGTGTGACAGATACAATTTAGACCTGCTGTCTATTCTGGCTTAAACTCTGTACTTGCACAAAAAAATGTTCAAAGTTAGTGATCCTTACAAAGAAAAGACCGAGTCACTTGATTGTAGTCAGCTTTTAAGCTGAGCTTCAAAATGTAATCATACTAAAAGACGCTTCTTTCTGCTGCTCCTGCCACATTTAAAGACCGAAAGGGATCAGGACGACATGACAGAGGGAATGCATGACAATGAATGGCACTAATACACCGATTTTTACTTTTTTCTTTTTCTAGGGCAGTAGTTTTCAATGTTTGAGTTTAAATGCAGTTTTTATACATTTACCAAGTCTGTTATTTTTTTGTTTTTTTTTTGTCTTTTGCTGCTGTCATGGCAGAAAATAAATTGTGTGATCCAGTAGGAAAAACATTTCTTTATTATTATTATTATTATTATTATTATTATTATTATAAGCAACAATAATTCTTCACATTCATGATGGGAATTTCACATCTAAACTTTGATTGTTAAAAAAAGTGGATTTAGATGACACCAATATGCAACAAGATAGTGTGACAGCATCTTCACTTGTTTTTCCCTTAAAAAAAAAAAAGCTGAGCTGCTCAATACATTTCAGCCTTTCCAAGAGGTCATTTTAGCTGTTATTCAAAACAAGGTGGCATCCTTGGAGCAACTGCCCTTTGCTCTCTCATGCTGAAGTGTTACTTAACCTTTTCAGCCTGTCTGTGTAGCTGCATAGTAGAAAAAGCAGCAGACAGTGCCCCGTGCCCTAAGCTATGCGACAGGCTTTTGTAGCCCATGACTGTTTAGCTGTAAGAGGTGATCTGACAGGTTCTGGCCCAAGACACACACACACCCCAAAAAATACCCCCAGAACGAGCAAATCTACACATAAACGGAGACGCAACAGCACACACAGTGACAAATGAACAGAGAGTCGCATCACCTCTCTCTTCGTTTAATCTGTCTTTCCTAGGTGCTGTCACCCAGCAGGGGTACGCTCGCAGCGCACTGCGAGTGTGATGATACGCAAGTATGCGTGTAGACCCCGTTCCTCTGTAGTGCAGCTATTCATCCATGACAAGCCCACCAGAGGCCTGACTAACGAGACCGCCGGAGCTCAGAACCCGCTGAAAGCATGGCTGAGCGTGCTTTTTGTGCCTCAAACCTCTGCTTCCTGAGAGACAAGAGCCTCAAAAAAAAAAAAAAAAAATGAGGCAAAAAGCAAGCTTTATGTCACGTGTTGCTAAAGGAGGTGTATGTGATGTCTCCCACATGGAGAAAGTGAACATTTAAAGGGGACCTATGATGCAAAATTGTCCTTTTGAACATTTTTTGTACTTATAGCTTTGCCTCTACTGCCTCTAGAAACAGTCCAAGTGCTAAAAAAAAATTAAATAAATAAAGAACAAAAGAGAAAATTTGAGTTTTGGTGTCTGGAAAAGGACCCATTACTAAAACCTCCTGATTATTAGGTCACCATCAGCAGGCACTGCGACTCACCTAGCGACCCCAGCTGAGCCCATGCCCTCACCAACCCAAGCAGAGCTTTGCTCACTTCATATTTCAAAGACTAGCATTTTTTGGTCAGCTGGTTTTATCGCTCTATGCGCTGTACAATGGTTGCTGGAAAAGACGCACGTTTTGTTGTCGACTGCGACGAATGACTTTTGTCCATGCACATTCTCTGAGTCGCAGAGAAGAGAACTTGTTAATGACAACATCCCAGCCACAATGCCAAAGAAAATTGGAGTTTGTGGAAATCACTTCATGACAATTTTTTTTTTTCAAACATCATTGAAAGTACATGACTAGATTTACCAACAAACTTCAGTGGAGGAAAGTTACATCCCTAGTTTTCATCTCGAAACGACAGATTAAATCTCTGCCACAGTCTCGGCTTTATGCCCAGGAAAAGGAGGCAGATGTTATCCTCGGATGATGGGAGGTGTGGCGTCAGTTTCCGAAAGCGCACAAAAAAGAAATGCTAAAAAAAAAGAGAGAGAGAGAGAGATGATAAAAGAGCCCTCTGGGTCAATCCGAACCTTCTGGGGCAGACAATGCGATGACCATAGTGTTGGGCATCATCAAGATGTTTGGTAAATGTGAGATGGCCCTTTGGGCTCTTTTTCTGTTGGGCTGGGGTTTTCACTTGAGGACTCTCCAGAACCACTTTAATCTGGTCTGTTTCTTATTGCTGAATCATCAACGCTGGTGAAGTGGCTTAGATGTTGTTGTGGGCTGTTTTGTGAACTCCTGTATGAGTCGTTATAGCTATGGGAGACATCTTGGCTGGCCGCTGCTTGGAAAGTTTACCACCGGTTTTTGTTTTTCTCCATTTGTGAATAATGGCTCTGTGGTTTGATTGAACTCCAAAGTGGTAGAAAAGGCTTCTTATCCTTTTCAACAAAGATAGATGTTAAATGCCTTTGTTTCCTATTTCTTATTTCACTAGATCTGTGCATAATGCGTTGCTTTTTGGGATACTCACCTGACTTCACAGTGCAGTACAGTTTCATTTTAAGGTATTACTTGATCCTACATGTCAGGCAGTGATCATGCCTGGGGTTGGGTAGGAAAATCGAACCCGAAATACAGCTTCTCACAGCTATTTCATAATTTAACAAGGGGGAATAGCATTTTCTTCTCTTAAGTCCAAGTTGATTTGTATGTTTTTCCCCTTCTAGATTACACTATTTGATAACTCCATCTTGTATATTAACTCAGGTTTCCTTTGATGTTAAATTTGGTTTGATGATCTGAAACATTTAAGCGTCACAAAGAGCAAAATCAAGAAATCTTTGAGGAACGGAAAACCTTTTCTAAAGGAGCGATGTAACAGCGCTACCTCCCACAAATGTTGCAGAAATTTTCACAAAAACCATCAACTTATTTGATCAGACTTGACAATGAAAGTTCTAACTGAACATTTTTCTTAAAGTCTGCAGGCTGCTGGACCTCAGGCTAAGAAGCAATAAA